TTCGTTGCCATCCCAGATTTTTCCGATATAAAAGTACAATTAGTATTAAGGTGTATATATCTCCTTCGTGCTCCCAATCGAATATATCTTCTTTCTCTGGTCAATGCACCCCGTTTTTGGTTCCAATATTAGATGAACATCTTCATTTCCCTGTTGGTGACTTCAACTATGCAAGAATTTTCCCTCTCCTTTCTTTTAGATTGACTGATTTGTCTCATTCTCCTACCAGAGGCAGTTCAAAACTTGACCGGGTAATCACAAACTATCCCACTTTGTTTTCTCTCAAATTAATGGCCCCAGTCGCTACCAGTGATCATTTTGTTCTCCTCTTAAGACCAAAGATATACATACTCCCGCTCTGCATATTCAATATTCATACGATCAATCAGATAAGGTTTCCTCTCTGTGACTTTTCATCAACCCACATTTCACTTCTCTGTCGATCTATAACGGTTGCCCAATCTTGGTTTGCTTCTTGTTCATCACTTCTTAACTGTGTCAGTCTTTTCACCGAAACGAGGAAATCGATCTTCCATTTTTTGTCCCATGGAAACGCTGTGTATTTGCAACGGTAAAAATGTATCTCCTCATTTGAACTCACTACGAAGCCAAAAGGAACGATCTTATAAATCTCACCATTCCTTTGTTGTAAAATACTACTCTATCTTAATTGAGGCTGAGATTACACGTTTAAACAAGATGTTCGCTTCCCGAATCCGGCAAACGAAAAACACAAAGTTTCTGTGGCAAGGAATTACTCCTCTCTGTGGACAAAAAAGAAAACTTGTGAACAGTCTTCACACTGCATTTCTTTAACTGTCTAACGATAAACAGATACCCTGTTTCCCATGTGAGGTTTCCAATTCTGATCTGTTCGCTTTTCCTAATGATGACATTTTTAAGCTTCTACGTTCCTTCAAACCATCGTCATCTGCGGGCCCTGATGCTCTTTCTCCAGCGTTTCTCAAGCTTGGAACAGCCCGTCTAACTAATATGATGACACCCCTCATCGAAGAATCTCTTTCTGCACAGATGATCCCCGATTCCTGGCGACCAGTGATCATAATACCTGTTCCAAAGACGTCATCGTCAACCGTTCTTGCAAAACGTTTTCGTCCCATCGCATTGACGTCTGCAGTTCTAAAGTTGACTGAGAAAGCCATCCTGAGTCGCTAATAGTCACTTGTCACCATTTCCCATGATCTTCATTTCGCGTATGAACACAACAGATTCACTTTGGTGTCTACTCTGGTCCATTTCATAAGCAAGTCACTGAACAGCTCTGCCAAATCTGTTCGTAGCGTTTTTCTCGATTATGCGTCTGCTTTCGATTCTGTATCCTGGTCACCCCTCTATTTGAAACTTGAATCTTTTAGCACCCCGAGACAGCTGCTTTCATGGCTTTCTGATTATTTCACTGAAAGAACCCAGTACAAAGCTGGTCAGGAATAACTCAAGTCCTATGGTCAATACTTCTGGTGTTTCAAGGTGCTGTCCTCTCTCCGTATCTTTTCTCGGCTTTTATTAGTGATCTTTCAGTTCCACACCCTGCTCATATCCAAAAGTACGCTGACAATGTCGCTTTTTGTCAGACCGTTTCTTGTTCTTCGGAAGTTCCTTCCTTGACTGAACATCTGCCCCGAATCGAACAGTTTTCAAACCAGTCTTGCCTTAATCCTAACACATCCAGGTGCTTGTAGTGCATTTTCAGTTCTTCCCGCTCAACATTCTCGTCAGACTCTGTAACGTTTAATAGTAACTTTTTGTCTAGAGTGACCTCAGCCAAATATCTGGGTATTGCTATCGATAATAATCTTTGTTGGTCGAAAAGCATTCAGAACTGTATAGGAAAACTTCGACGGTTCTCTTTTCAACTCCGAAAGCTCGGACAATTTCGCACTCCCCAACAAGTTTTGTTCGCTTTTGTTAAACAATGCGTTCTCTCTATTTTACTTTACTGCTCCCTTGTAGTGTTTCCCTGTCTATTGAAACAATACTTTAAAACTGTCCGTTGTGGATTAATGATAATAAACCAAGCAACTGCCGAGTCATTTATCATAGAACTTATTATTGGTCATATGAAGTCTTGTATGACCTTTGCCAATAAGATTCTAAACAATCCCTCCTATCCTTTGCATTTTGACTAATCTGCTTGTCTCTCCCACTGAATCACTCGTTTCTCTTATTGGTACCTACCCTGAGGAATAAACATTTATAAAACCTCCATTGTACCGTATCTGGCTTGCATCTTGACCAAGAAGGCACGAGTTATAAATGCATTACATCAATATTTAATCGAATGAATCAAGCTTTAGCGACATTAATCTTTTTTAGCACTATTGAATTTACTTATACTTCTTTATTTACTCCGGTTTGACGACCAGTGTGCAATTTGTAACTGAAACGTATGCATATCTTAGCTTGCAAAAGTTATACAAATACAAAAATAAATAGTTCTTTGTCCATACAACGCGTGCTGTCTTGTGTTTCCATCCGTAAACTCAAAGTTTTTCCATGGAGTATCGTTGCTGAAATCAGATTGGCCGAACCTTGTGGAATTTGGAGAATAACTAAATCCCACGACTTTTGTTATTTGAATTATGCTTTATTTGGAATATTTTCAGTAATACCGATGTAAAAAGCTCGAAAAAAACAAGCTACATGGTGTATGAATCCTATATATTTACTTGACTTGATTTAAAAGTGCACCTTACTCATACAATCATCGTTGACTGAAGATGTAATCTTGACTGATGAGGTTGTTTTCTACCGTTCTGGAGGGACAAGCATAAAAATTCAAGTTTGCTGGGCACAAATGGAACCACTGTTTATAATTAAAGCTCAATACAAGTACGATCCCCCAAATTATTTTGTCTTTTGGGGTGCATAACAAGACATTGCTGGGACCATAGTTGTTGGGTAACAATAAGTGAAATGAACTTTTTACAGTTGCTTTCTATATGTTGGTAACCCATTATATCCGATCAGGATGGTGTAGCTGCCAATAATTCAAGGGGTTTGGGAGCCTGGCATGACAACACATTGCCACAAAATTGAATTGACCAAGGAGGACCTGTGCTACAGCCGTCGAGAACTTCAGGTGTGACAACACTGATATTTTGCTTTTGATACAAACTGGAATCTGTTGTTTACACTCCCTAGCCGCATTCCTTATTTCGATCTGGAAGAAAATATAATTCCATCCCCATGGAGGGAGACAAAAAGTTTTATGTGAGCGTAATAAACCGAGGGATAGAGATTTAATCTCTTACTATGGCCATCAACAAGTGTTACCAGGTCAGTGACCAAGTGCAAATCCATTTTATTCTAATGAATAAATAGAATTCACGCACAGGTCATTTGGTATTTGGAGATCAATGAACACAACGTCCTGCTATCCATCTTAACGGTGTATTAAGGAAATTCACTATGGACAAATGTTTTCCCTGCTAATGTGCATGAAATTACTGAGGTAAACGTGACGTACTTAACCGAATCCCTAGATTTTTTTGATTTGAACGTGTAAAACGGTCATTTTTGAAAACGAATGGTCTGGTAGTACCGTAAAACGTTGTGTAAAACAGCTCTCCAGAGGCGAGTTTATATCATAACTTCTTTTCTGTTACTTTCTCCTCAATAAGTTTTCTTTTCGGTTTACCTACTAAAAACGAATAAAATGGCGTCATTTATTTTTCTCTGAACCGAATTGATTGTTTGAAGACAAACATTTCTCACCTTTTTCTCAACTCCGCCGTAGTTATTCGATTATCCTTGGACCCATTTGAAGAAAACGCTTCGTACTCTTTTCATACTAGAAGCGGTCTGCGGTTTTTGTTTTGTCAGAGTGGAAAAACGTTTGAATTAATCGCATATCTCCCCAAAACTCATACCCGACGCGTTTCGCAAGGTCGTCAATGTCCGTTAAATTTATCTTGCAATGACTGACAATTGTGACTTGGTTTTCATAAACAGCAAAAGGTAAACACGTCCGGCTCACCCCCCCCTCCCCGTCTCCACAGACACACATGCGATTCAGGACGGTGTGGCTTTGGATTGGTTTGTGAGTTGTGAACACCCAATGTAATTTAACAGGGTTTCGTCGGATAAAAGTGCGAATGAACCACAGATGATAATTCTAAAATCAGTTATGTGTTTCCGGCTCAATGAATCACCTGGTCCATAGTGGAGTGGTGTTCTCACATATTTGACCAACTGTTCTCATGCATACGAGCAGCCGGTCTCTTCTGATGCAATCGACAGGTTGTGACAAGCGAGTTCATCAACGGTTGCCAGTAGACGAATTTGTCTGTTTATACAACGGTCTCACTGAAATTTGAAATGGCATATTGCATTAAAGACCCCTTCTTAATGCACAGCCTACGAATATCTGTAGTATCCTCGAATGTAATCAAATCAATAATCAGTCCCCCAGCACCGTACAGCCTGTTGGTTATCTCAGCTTGATTATATCGGCATTTTTCCAAAGAGAGTAATTCACACAAGACAAACGTAGCTCGTAATGACTGGAATTAGTTCAGCACTAAAGAGTTGATACCCGGATACATTCCAGGTCTAGGATAAACTTCACAAATGATATAGCTCATAAAAAAATAAGGTAGTAGTCAGAACACAACGAAAAAAAAAACATGTATATATTGGTACGGGTATCATATGCTTCAGTCAAACATCAGATGATTGGTGATATTCAGTCGGAATCAGCTGATCGAAAAATAAATCCACACATGTGCACGTACAAAAATGCAGTCAGCTGACTTCCAGAATTTGTACCAAAATATTGTTAAACGCATTTGCACAGATACATCTTCGAACGGGTATTACGGCCCATTTCGATAAAATTTAATACTGGTATATTTCTTACTAACCCGTGAATACCTACGGGTCAATTCTGCAAATCGCTTTTGTAATCTATTGCTATTGAGTGTTTACCTAGTCGGAAAAGAATTAATCGTTTTGCAAAGATGAAAGACACCAACACATACGTACTCATCCGTATTCAGGCAACTCGCAACACGCTGTTCGAATTCTTGCAGACCTCGGTAGAGTAAGAATAGTTCACGCATTTCTTGTGTATTGTATGGTATTTGATTTCCCTCGGCATCCAAACGAGGCCCGACAACTTCGGTGATCGGACACGCTGTGGTCGAGAGATGAGTTAGTTTTGAATTGTCCAAAAGATCTCGGTGAAGCTAAATGGGAGAAGAGATGAAGTGAATCGCGTTAGTTTTAGTGACCCTTTCATCAAGTAAAAAAAATTACGAATGCGAGGCTATACGGACAATGTAAATACGAAGAGTGTAGTGCAGATCGATCAATTTATAAAACGTTTTGCATGTTTTGTTAAGGAACCAGAGAGAACAAAGCACATGCACAGTTAGAATTATTGTCATTCAGATCGGGCAGGAGGTCGAGGTTAACCAACCTGCGGATACATCAGTGAAGAAACTGAAACAAGATATAAAACAGATATAAAACACCACGTTTGTGTATATGAGCTACTGAAGTGTTGTTGTAGGTAAAATTGGAGGGCACATCAGCAGAAGAAGAGAAGAAAGCTGATGCAACTACACTTCCTTATATACCTTGGTTAAAGAACTGTGGAAGGGTGGATGTATGCTGCCGTGATGTCGGGTAAAATATGTCAGTGATCAATGCACTAGTCAATCGGTAACTCAGTTACTGATGCCAACCACAAAGATTGGCAACTTGGATCTGTTGAAACGGTCACCACGATTGAAAGAATATTTGAAGACCGAGAGTTGAACCGAGAGCTGGTTAGACGGAATGCGAAGTTACAGCACGCATATCGACGCTAGAACGGAAATGTCGACCAGCAGACGGACTGAGGCAGTTATTGTTGAGCATGGCGTAGATTCAACTTTCAAAGCCTGATGTTACAGTTGAGATACAAAAATTCAGAATTCAGATAGTTTTATGTGCACAGTGGGAATGTGTTTCTAACGTTATGAGAAAGTTGATGAATGACAAGTGGCAAATTCCCTAATTACAAGCCGTTCTTTATCATGGGGAAGAAGATACGTGTTGTGGTTTAAACGAGTTTGCTCGTTGCTTTTTTGTGTATCTGTGATAACTAGATAGGGATCCAATCTCATGTATACATAACATGATGCGGTACATATTATGACGGTCGAGAGCCGGCAAACGGTGCGGGAAAGGGGGATTGCTTTTTGGCTAACGGTTCTCTGAGTCAGCCGCCAGTCGACGTTACAAGCAAACAAGTGTAAACAGATCAAACTCGTGACCAGCCTCGCGCTGCCCTGGTAGATGTACCTGTCCTTCCCCATCCACCATCCTGCAGTGATTACGCTCCTTGTCACACAACGGAACTATTAAACAGGTTCAACAATGCGCATCCCAACATAAAATTTAGTTTGGAAATGGAGTATAACACTAAGTTGCCATTTCTAGATGTCTGCATCATCCGTCGATCAGATGGTTCGGTGCAGGATTCCGNTATGTGCCCCTGGAAGTGAAAGGGAACCTGGTACGTTGCCTAGCGGATCTGCAGTGAGGACACCCAAGAAGAAGAGCTCCGTACTATAAAACCTATCTTTGCATGTAATGGGTATCCGGAGCGTTTAGTGAACAAGATGACTCAGTGAACGGAAAAACTCTACAAAACACCCAGGTTAAGAAGAAATACATGTATAATTCTTTGCCGTTCAAAGGGAATGTCAGCTGAGACCGTACAAAGAAGATCATCCGATGCAATCGATAAGACCTTTTATGCATCCAGGCTTCGTGTATTGTTCATATCCAAGCCAATTGTGTGTTTGCGACTAAAGGACAAAGTTTCAGACTCTGCGGTCTCATTCTGTGCATACTCATTTGCTAGTGTCCGTGGAACAATGTACATAGGCGATTGTCCGAACTGATTAGTGAACACTACCCTGCGTGGCTGAACACCGGAACGATTAATTTCACTCATCCGTACAGTAGGTTTACATCTAGCTGGAACAAATCACACCGTGGACGTATGCGAGGCTTTTCTACCCCTGTATTATTAGTTCGTGGGCAATTATCGAGGCAGGTTCGCTGTCGGATGCGGTGGGCATTCGTCTGCACAACCCCCGCTCTGTGTGCCTGAAAACAATTTGTGCAAGCGCTAAAGCTTCTCTGACTCACCCCACACACCGTATCATGAGTGATCTCGATGATCAGATGAGTAGGCAAACAAATATGTGATCCTGATGAATCCGATTTCCGGTCTCATGATGAAATCGTTTCTAGTGATCTGTGATTTTATTTTCTTTTCCCAAGACAACTTTATTCGTCAGTATTGATATACATTGAGATGTATTGGCATGAATACGATTATCTGAAAACGAGCTTGTTCTCCTTTGTTGTTTTGTTCGAAATGAAAGTAAAATGGTCACAAAATAATAACTGGCTTTGCCATTCATTGATCAACCGCTAAAATAAGGCATAAGTTTAACATCGTTTGAAACTCTCCCTTTTTTATGAAGAACACTTGTTGAGTGATCTTTTTTGAGAGATGTCACATTCCATGCTCTCTAACTGAGGCCAACTATAACCACAACATTTGGTATAATTGACAACACACGATGATTTACATCTCAAAGTCTATGATGCACCTCAGACCAGAGGTGCATAGCCATGGTTCTTCAATTTGCTGTTGGTAAACGGTATCCAGTTCCGTAAACGATCGCTCACAAAATATGGCCTCATGAAGTTTTGGTTATAAGTGAAATGATGTGGTACAAACAGTTGCCATCTCACGGGAGGGTTTCTCAGGTGATGGATGCAAAATTTTGAACGGAATATACTGAGTTGTGGGCGTAGATGTTTTTGGCCATGGAAGCTATGTATTGCCCGTTGCTATCATATCAACTCCCTCATCATACTACAGTCACCTATTTTTTTCTCATATTTTGTTCTTGATATGTTTTTATTACTATCGAATACTCTTTTTACTGGAAATCTAATCATGAAATTAGCTATTTGCGTAAATAACGGCAATCTTCACAACCTATTGAAAATTTGTTCTCATAGCTCGTGTTGACGGAATTAGATTTTGCCTGCTCCATAAAATTGGCAGTTTAGTATCAGATGTTTCCTATTCCTCTTCATCATTCAGTTTTTGTGGAACGACAGTGATCCGCACCTATCCTGTTCGTTTGTATATGCACTTCTTTAAGGAATATTTGGGGTCTCTTTTCCCAGTTGTTTTCAATCGAGTTCGCCGCTGAAGCATCATGAAGGGGGTATTTTTTGATCGGGAATGGGGTCCTTGTTGGGTCCAGACGTGACCTCGTTCATGGTACGTCATTGGAACACTGAGTCGCATTTAAGTATATTCTCATAAGTGAACGCACGTAGGCTGAACACCACTCTTTCACAAGTACTGCAGATATCCCCACGAATCGGTGATGAGATGGCTGCAAACAACTGGGGAAGTTGGATGAATAAAGAACAATAATAAAAATTGTTTACTAAATGATTTTGTTTTTGTTTTGTCCGAACCCAACCAGCAGTGATTGTGACCAGGTATCCTCCTGTTTCACAGTACAACTGCTACAGATTGGTTTGCACAGGTGAATGAAATTTAAAAGGCGAAGGGATGACCATATTCTGTGTTGGAGTAGAAAAGGGACGGCGTTTGTTTGGGAATGAATGTTATTGTTGATTACGTGTTGTGCAACTCAGCCGAAGTTTCAATGTTTTCTTGGTGCTTGACAGTTCGTTTTCATCAGCATTGAACTCCAATTCAGGCTGTCATGTCATGGTCTGGTAACCAATGTCCTAAAGGTTCATTTTATAACGAGTAACAGGAATAGTCGTTTGTACGAAAATCACACAACCTGCTCTTTTTCCCCTATCAAAAATAGTTCAAGGATACTTCTACTTCAGTGACTCATCTATTAGACGCTTGAACCGTTTTATCTGCGATTCCGAAGGTTGCAACAAATAGCGCAATGCTGACTACTGACTTATCTAGGTACCTTAGATAGATTAATTGACTTGAATGATTGTCACATCTATGTTGGCTTGGTGTGGACAGTTTGGTGGACAGAACTGCTTTATTTGCGGTACGGTAGAACAATCCGGAACGTTGACCATATGTATTTCATGTGATGCCAAAATTGATTTAGAAAGGGAATCGTTGAAGATTTCCAGCACTGTGTCAAGATTGTGTGCCATGTTTCCCAATCGAGAAAATAGCTTTCACAAGCCTCCCGTATGCGTGGACATGTCATTGTCCCCAGACATAATACCAATCTGAATCGTATGATGATGCGTGGATCAAATACTGAACGGTGTTGGAACAGACCAACCAAATTCACTCCCATCTGCACTCGGAAACAACCGATCCGAGCAATCACCGAACCGCGGCCACGGGTGTATTACTCGTAATATTATTATTTACTAGTAGTAGTAGTGGAAGTCGTCTGACCCACATCCCAGAGGTACCCTAGTGACTTAGCCGCAGCGTTGGCAGATTGACCACATCCCGCCAAACGATGCAAATCTAAGAGCATCGTTTTGTCTCGATTTATCTCGGATGGAACACCATCAGTTTTGTCTTATATAATAGTATCAGTTAGCGGAAAACCGACTTCAATCTGGCTTGTCTTGCCCATTGATCTTTCTTCCTAATGAGATCACCGCGGTTTTTATCTCCTCCCATTGTGTCGCCTTTGGGGTCTTTACAATGACCCATACAAAAGGAACACAACACACTGAATATTAACTCTTGCCATCGCGTGAACATCATAATGAGACGAAGTATCTCAATCACTCTTTGACGATGTCAAGCAAACCTATTTGATGCTGAAGATTATCGCATCACAAAGTCTAAAAGCTTGTGTTGGAATGAGGTAGGCTAAAGGGCAACCGTAGATGTGCATCATATCAGCGTCCTATATCTGGGGCAGTTACGTGCACAGTGTCGACCAGTTGGAATTCTACACCTATTCAAATCCATAAATATCTTTCAGTTGATTCTGGGATCATTCAGTGCATACTCAATTCTTCCTATTCACGTGGAGAATCTGCTTAAATGCAGCTTGAGATATATTGCCTACAATTTCATTCCTGTCAGTTGGTACTACACACATTAGTTAACCACCAGAAAGTAAAACGCTTTTCCAAACAATGAAGCGATAAACCTATATAAATATATACACATAAATACTGTTTCCAGTGA